TTTCCCCCCCTTTTTTTTTTTTTACAATGGATACCTGCAGGGTACGAGCCTTGGTGTTTCTGGTCCTGTTATGGCAGGACGGGTCTTTGGCATCGCAGTTTCCGACACAGCTCATGTAAGTATATAATCCAATTTCGTGCATTAATGTTGCAGACTCGTCGGTTAGAGGCTATTACATTAAATGAGCCACTCAAGGTGTGTAGGCAGTACAGCACGCGCGCGGTTGGGTTTGTGTGAGTGGGGTGGGCTGGTCGGGTTCATTCATGCACCAGTGGTCATCTTGAATAAGACACGTTTGAGGGTAGAATATACTTAATCTTCCGTCTGGCTGCTCGCCTCCAGGCGATGATTAATGTTGGTTACCGTACTCAGCAGCTTGTCGCCGGTGGATGGCTATGACAGCTCCTGAAGTTGTTGAGGAGTTACAGTCACTTCGCCTGGTCCTGTCCCTTCCTGTAAAAAGACAAAAGTTGCCCCCTTGTATGTGGCCCCCTGACGAGTTTGGAGTTCAATAACCATAGCAATCCTATTATTCATTTGCAAAATTAGGGCGATTTAATTTTTATGTTCCTTTTTTCAGATTCCATACAAAGTTCTCTTTAAATACAGTATACATTCAAGATATTTGCATTGTTGTAGCCTACCATATACATTTCAGGTATATTCACATATAAGTAAAGAGTCCCATAAATCCTGGGAATAATAGCAGGTTTTGTTTGAACATTTTGGTAGGGCTTTATTTACATTTGGATCTGTGATTAAAGCAGGACACCCCTTGAGATGGGCCTACATTATTTGTTTTAAAAGAGAGACCGAGACAAAGAGGCAGCAAAGAGTGAAATAGTAAAAAAAAATCCCATGTATTTGTTCAGTTACCTAAACTGAGACTGCTTGCATTTTAAAACTATTTACATGTAAATCATTTTCATTACATTTTTACTTAAATTAAAGGTTTGGTCACCAGACCAGAGCATTGGCATCTGTCAGACATTTCTAATATGTTGACCACCCCCTAATGCCTCTCAATATAATGCAATACAATTCTACAGCAGCAACAGAATGAAGTTACTGCTGATATTTGAACTCTGAAGTTATAGACCACTCCACCACTGGGCGCGGCTATGTCGTATTCCTGCTGCGACGCGGCCGATGGCACCACAAGCATCCATTCTGCTATCTTACGCTTACGCCTTCCACCTGGCACGCCTAGAAGACATGGTTGTCACGATAACTGAAATAGCAACCCAACCAGAGGTTATGCCAAGCCACTGCCAGAACCGTGCGTGATATTACATCATCACATTTAGTATTTGATTTCTTAGTATTTTTGGGGGGGCTTTTATTGCCTTTTTAAGCGATAGTGACAGCAGACAATTGACAGGAACAGGGAGGGGAGAGAGAGAGAGGCCAAGAGACAGAAAAGAGCCACAGGTTGGAGTCGAACCCATGGCCGCTGCAGCAAGAACTCAGCCTTGGTACATGGGGTGCCAGCTCTAGCTTTTGTTTTTTAGGACGAAAAAGTGTCCCAGTGCAGCCTGGCTAAAGAGACTTGACAAAGCAGAAACACTGTCTAAAACGCATTGATGCTCAGTATCCTTCAATTCACTGTCCAAGATTACAATATCACAGAAGAAAAAGTCACATCAACAAAATTGTCTCAGACATTAAGGTGGAATACATTTTTTTGGCTGTCCTTAGCCACAATTAGTGACTGCAAAAATACCTGCATTTGTGCTGCCTGATAGTGAAAGCAAAGAACTACCTAACAGCTAACATCCCCTTGTGCTAAATCTGCTGGATAACCCGAGATACGAGAGGAATGTATATAATCATGGCTCTAATATGCCTGTAAGGAATAGGTGTCTTTGTTTGGAGTGTGCATGATGAGATGCAATGATGAGATGTTTGAACATAGATACAGCAAGCCAAAATAAATTAAAATGAAGTGGATCCAACACTCAACGTTCATCAAGTGCATTCTCCTGGATTACACTGATCAGATGGATGGAGATACAAAAAACTGATTGTGTAAAGGTAGCTTTTCAAACTGTAACCAACTGGTTGTGTGTCGCTTTATGGTCCTATCTATGTTGTTCCAGTAAATACTCTTGAGATGATTTTGCACTACCTTAGATGTCTAGAGCAACATTTCAATGTGCATAAAAACAACAATAGGACAAACACCATCTCATGTGGATGTTTTTGAGTTTGTAGCAATGAACTCATATTGGCTGTACCAGGAATATTTCAGCATCAGATCACCAAAAAGCACCAGAATTGCAAATCTAAGCCGCAATTACTGTAAGAAAGACAGATGGTAATGGAATGGTCAGAGCCTGATCCAACAACTCTCCTCTTCATATGAAGGTAGTTTGTATTATCTGGGCCAGGCTAAAGAAGGACTGAATTGGCCACTTGGGTGTTAGGGTATAGGCTACAGAGCGTGAGCAGAGCGCCGCGGGTTGTTTTGGTGCATTACTGTTGGTGTTTCCATGCCTCATTCCGCTTTGCTGTCTTCTGTCTTTGCCTCTGTAATGATGTGTAATTAGACTGTAGTTTAACACAGCTGCCTACTGAGATACACACTATGGGCCAGCTCATTACTCTCTCTCTCTATAGTCAAAGTGGTGGTACCACAACATCTGTCTCTCTTCTTGTATTGTCTCTCCACCTCTCTTTCTGTTTTGCTCTGATTTGCTCTTCCTGTGTCTGAAAAACAATGTAGGGCAGTGTCTGACCCAGTTGCCATTTGTATGTGCATTTGTGTGTGTGTGTGTTTAATTATCCAGCACTGTACCAGAGGCTGCAGTAATCAAAGCCCAGCAACCAGAGCAGAAACATTTTGCTATCTCAGCTCAACAATGACATTATTACTGTTTAGGCATCTCTAAATAGCCATGTTATTTTAGCCATAGAAAATAACTTACATTATACTTATGGTGACAAGATAATATGTACTTTACCTAATTTATATTTATATGTAAACGTCACCTAGACATGGCCCGATACCATTTTTTTCCTTCCCGATATAGATTTTGATACCTGAATATCGGCTAATACAGAGTACTGATCCAATACGTGTGCATTAAAAAAATACAAATAATGACTTGGCTATCCTGGGGAAAAAAAATAAAAAAAGACAAAAGGGACACAGCCGGGAAGTAGGGTCCCTCTTTAGGGTTAATAAATTATGTGGTATTGTATCGGTGCACAGACACGCATAGTTACAGATACCCGAAACCGCATTTTCGGCAGTATTGGAGGAATTTCAAATACTGATATCAGGATTGGAACAACTCTAGCGTCACCTAATTGCATTTATGAAGCACTGCCATTAACCAAGTTGGGACCTAAAGGGATGGTTGGAAATGCATGATCATGATGTAAGAATGAGTAATTAATGAGCAGAGATTTTTCATGCTTGTATGGATAATACAATTGACGTTAAAAGGCCAATTTAACAAAAGGATTTGTCTGCCAGTATTCATACAAAGCAACAGGCGAGTAGTGTCAGAACTTTCTATTTTATGGTCCTTTACTGTATATAATGAGCCAATATAGCACTTAACGGTCAATAATTCTTTGTCTGCATTCTAAAGTATAGTTTTTGGTATTTACACACGCACACAGATTCAGCATCATGATAATTGGACTAAGTAGTTCCCTCAGATGAGACACTTTTATGAAAACTGACAAAAAAAAAATTCTAAACAGATTTTAAAAGTCACACTCATCCATATTGGATGTGCAGAAGGACATATGCACACATATTGCACCACAGCCTGGGTTGTCTTGTCCATTTGTCAGCACCTGAGAGTTTTTGTTATAGAGATTTACACTGGTAGCAGTAGATTTTACAGAAGTTAAACTCTGGAGAGATGGCCCTCTGCTTCTCTGAATGTCAAGTCCCTAGAAGCACAAACACACACACATGCACACACAAACACACACATATTCACTCTAACTCACAACTGACTTGTCAATGCTTCAGGCTTTGGGAGCTTAGGGGTCCAAGGTCCACTAAAAAGCCTTACAATCAGTTTGTTGTTAGTAGATTTGGGGACAAGGAAGGTTGGAGCAGAGGAGAGGAGAGAAGAGGATCAAGAGAAGAGGATATAAGAGAGTGAAAGAGATGCAAGAAGAAGAGAAGAGAGAAGTCACAGTTTTTCAACATCTCATTCATAGTTGTTGTAGGTAGAAGTGTTTTTGGGCCGATACAGATACCAATGTTTAAAATAACAGTTTTGCAGATAGCTGGTGCCAATACCGATACCAACAGTTTTTTGTTGTCATTTATTCACCCTTTTGTGCCAGGGAAAAAAAATCTACAAAGATAAGCATGTCTGTCTAGTTGCAGCTCAGTCTATTTCTCTTCTTAACCTGGATGTCAGACGTAGAGCTGAACAGCTGCTCACTTTCCGTGCTGCTGCATGGAACACATCCGTATTTGTTCATTTGTGGCAGTGCTGGAAAACGGATTATATCTCCAATAACCAAGTTGGAAATAAAAACTTTAAACTGTAAAACACATTTAGCCATTACAACACAACAGATAAACATCGACCACTGATATTGGTGAATACCATCTTATTTGCCGATAGGCCAGTGTCAGCCAACAAGTCGATGTTTGTCAGATATTGGTTGCAAGTTTGGGTCAAGCTCCAAAAACTCCTTCTCTCTTATCTTCTCAAATATTCATATTAGCCTTAAAACTAGAATATCATCAGGCAATATAGTTTGGTTTCACCAGTGTTCTCATGCTGCTTTTATAGTCACACCTGATCATTCAGCACCATTGGTTCCTTTGCATCTGTTGACAGCTGAAAGATGAGTACCCAAACAACACCAATTGGTGGCTCTAAATCACTATATCATATAGTAGCTAGACATCTATATTAGTTTTCCTTCAGATAGCAATAATGGTCTGCCAGGTATCAGTATTGTGCATAGCTCCTACCATCTGGCTTTGGGAATTAAGGGATAGCAACTGAATTATAACTGACCCTGCACTAATATCTCCACCTACCTTCTCTTTTCCTAAACAAGTTCCCACTGTGCCATTCCCTCTGGTATGCCTACTCTTGCAAAGTGTCTCATCTTTCTCCACAAGGTTACTTGCTCTGAATTTTCCAATAACTATTTCCTGGTATCTGTTTTTCTATGTTTATTTCAGCTTATATATGCGAATATGTCTCTCTGCCATTGGGGAGGATCACAGCTGAGTCTGTGTTAGTGTGAATGCATGGCAATGAGAGCATCTGTATCCTATGCCAACCTGTTCTCATTCTCGTACAATATTAATGGCCCTGTGTGTGCATGTGTGTGCATGCACAGAATATATGGTGAATTAATGCATCCACATGCACACAAGTATTTTCTTCCTACAAGCTTCTACCAGATACGCCTCAAGATGAGTCATATTGTTCTAACAAGTCTCTGTGTAACTTAAATTAAGATTCAAGGTAATTTATTTACCATTGCACATCAAAAGGATGCATAAAGAAATTTATGTTTAATTAATTCATGCTACACACACATATAACATAACAGATAAGTACATTTAGATTAAAGGAATAATATATAAAATAGATAAAAATAATTTATAAACAGAGCCTATATACATAAACATATTGCACCTTGGGGAATGTAAACAGCAGCAACAAGATAGTCAAGATAATATGGTTTCATTTTCACAATAAAGTTTAACATTTGAGAAACAGTGTCAATCCACTTTGACTGTGTTTAAGCAACAAGCATCATCCATCAGTCCACCTCCTTGTCCTGCCAGAGTCCTGCACTCTGTCAGCTTGGAACACGGTCCACCTGTCCAGTGCTGATCCTGGATTTTGATGGAGTGGGTCTCTGTAAAGATGTGGGCACAACAGTCTCTGATTTCCCGTTGTTTGGCCAGCCCATTTCGTCCCATTTTATCCAGACCATTAGCCAGGAGCAGTCTTAAGTCCAAGCTGGGCCAAGAAGGCTCCTATCCTAGCTCTCTTCTTCTCCTTCTGGGTGGTCACAGCTCCTGCCGTGGTAGGCTGGTCTGCCCAATCTGGCTGGTTAGAACACCTCATATTCCTCTGCTTGTTAATCCAAACCCCATGCTTCCTGTTCCAATGACTGTTGGCTGTTTGTGTAATACGTGTTTCAGCAATAAAAAATAAAAAAATAAAAAAGACAAATTAAAAGAACACATAAGGTTTCTTTCATCTCTTTCAGGCATGGAACAATATGAACACGATTATCTTGGCCAAAATAATTGCGATTCACATTATTATCCCTCTAATCATCAAACTATACTTAAACCTCTTGAAATGGCACTGAAACATACTGGAATCATCTTACCTTACATTTTATTAAGCCATAGGATTGTGGAATGACTGGAAAGATGCAGGCTCCCCTTGTGGCAATTCAAAATAAATCATGAAATCAATATAAGACTGTACACTAGCCAGCTACAGTTCTTTTAACTTAAGCCATGTAAGGATATTCATGATTATCCTGATTCATGATTTTCTAGATACTGAAAATTCACCACAATAAACATATCAGAGTGTTTTTTTATCCTGATACGTGATAATATCGTATATCAACTCATCCATGATCTCTATCTATTGCCACTGTGTTCAGGAGGCACAGAGTGATATGTCATTATAATTCAAGCTGTGAGCTTATTGTGGTTTGACAAGATGATTGGAGGAGGATGAGAGGATGGCATAATCCTGTGTGTGGCACCAACATGCTGGACCTGATGACCCCGGAGCTCTTTGATATAAAAAATATCGGTCCTGGCCACCTCCCACCTTTCACCTGCTTTCTCTCATCACCGTCACTAGTCACAACACTGGCTGACACTTAACTGATTGGTCGACTTCATGTTTGAACCCTCAGAAAGTAATCGTATTGGTTGACACTGACATGCAATGACACGTGTTTGATTAGATGACCGCGTATTTGTTCTTAGTGATTCCAGCGATGATTGGTTGACATCTTGCTTGACCTATCAGAGTGATTCTCTTTGGGCGTCTTTGTTTTTAGGCTGTGTCTAGCTGGTCTTCTTAGATGATAGATGTAAGATAACTTCACTGACAGTTTAATTGCACTGTGAAATGTCTGTGATGTCTCTTCTAAACAAGTTACATCTGAGTTACAAGAGGGGTTGTGTGCATTGCTTTGTCCCATAGGATTAAAGAATGGGTTGATCAGATGCAGAAAGAGCTTGTGACCCTGGCAGACACCGCCACAGCTGGGAAGAGCCTCACTCAGGTAGAAACACACACACTACAGGCATGCATAAAGAGAGGGCATAATCCAAATTCAACACTGTTATGGTTGTATGGTTCTGATGTCCTTTTTGTTTCTGGCTACATTCTATTTGATTTTTTTTAATTTAATTTAATAAATTCATTTCTGACAGAAGTATTTTGTAAATGATCAATTATGTATGCAATTTGATATGTTCACTGCTCTTTCTTTCTGTCTAGATTTTTCAGAGAAATCAACGCCTGTACACTGTGGAGCAAAACGACGCAGAGGAGCTGGTGGCTAGAGCAGCTACAAAAATTGAACAGCTGCTACTGAAGAGGTCTGCTGCCTTGGAGGTAAGACTAACCCCACACAGAGGAACCAACTGTCAGTTTGCAATTTTACATTGTGTACAGGATGATATCTTTATTAATCAGGGCTACGAAGAGAAGTTTTCCATCTGCTCTTTGTTAAGACATTGTAGACTTGAATAATATCCAATAACTATTGTGTATGTGGTAAACAATGTGTCTGATGTTATGCTATTCTTATTCAACACATCCACTGAATTTTGATAAATGTTTTCCTCATTGCAACCTATGGTCAATTCAGAAATCTGTCACTCTATGTTTTTCAAAATTTGCACACAACACAAGTCTTCATTCAAATGCTACCAAAACACACAGACAATCTTTTGATACTAGATCTAAATCTAGAACTAATGTTTCAAATGGTGTTCAGATTGGTCAAATGGTTAGCCCGCAGTGACATTCAGTATCATACTGTAATTAGTACTGTATAAATAACATCACCAAAATATTTTACAATACACCTGAAACCAGCAGAATAATGTGTATTTTTTTCAGAATTTTCTCACCAACATTTTGACGCGAGTGTCACATTCAAAACATTTAAATGATCTTCTGGCACCAGGATCCCTGGTTCATCTCCATACCAAAGGGTTTCCTGTGAGGGAAACAAATATACAACAACATCCATAAGTCCGGAGGACCTTACATTGTCACAAAGCTATTATCTGGATGTTTTGGTCATTTTCTAACAGCACACTAATGTTTCAGTGTTGAGGTGATTAACAGCTCACTTAATTGTGTGACTTCATGGATGATAGATATGGTTTCTATGTATGCAATAAAAACAGTGGGTGCAGCATGCACATTAAATTATTGAAAGCAAGGATATGTGTTTTGCAGGATTCAATGTGTTAATGAGAGCTTTGACCCTGGGGACACCCCCACCCCTTTCCTTTTTATTCAGAAGTGGGTCAGAGATGCTCTTCTGTATCAGGAGGTTGAACTGTTTTTAAACATTCATATGAAGTTCACAGCAACCCTTTCTCTGCCTTTATAAGGCATCACCATTGTTGTCTTATTAGTAATGGAGAGGGAATATTTATGATGTTCATAAACACATCTCCTGCCAAGTGTCTGTCTTGTGTATGTTAAGTAAACACCCTGGTGTTCTTATCATTTTTCCGAGTGCTGGTGCCATAAGCAGTAAGGAGCAAATTGGCTTCAGTGTATTATCCAAGTGATGGAAGAGAGAGATGGTTGCGAGCGTCGGGTGTGTACGTGGTTTAGTGTGTGTTAAGGGTAGTGGTGGGTGGTGGGTCGGCTAACCTTATGCTGACAGCCCATCCAACCTCTGGACATCGATCACTTCTCACTTTTTATTGTTTCTTTGTGTCTCATCCTCTCCTACGAGTAACCTCAAGGCACACTGATATTGAATTCTCTGTCCTGAGATGTATAGATGAGAAGATAAAAGGATGAATGGATGATGTGAAAGAAGGGCAAATGCATGAACCTGATGGATGGAGTGTTGGACAGACTTAGCAACGGAAGATGAGTGCACAGGATGGTAATGCTTTGAGCTCAGATAGTAGGTTTCTTTTTTTGTGTCTTTTTGAGTCTTTCTAAGACAGCAGCGACAATCACCAGAAAACTTGAATCAGAACTTACACAGAAGATTTTAAAGTTGTGCTTTGAGAAGAGTTTTGCCGTTTTCTGTTTTCTATGTTAAATGAACCTATTTGGCTATAAAGTTTATCAGACCGAATACAGGAAGAGAATCTTAATTGCAGGTTGGAGATCCTGTCTTGTTCAATGCCTTTGATATAAGGTTGGAAGTGACTCAATGCCAACATAATTGGCCCAAGGCACTTGAGTCAGTTTCACGTAGTTGTCAACTTTAAAACTTTCATCCCACCTTTGCCTTTCTGTCTTTCTCTCTTGCTCTCTCTTTCATCCTCTCTTTCTTTCCTTTTCTGATCTCCAGCTCTGCATGATAGATGACCTTTGAAAGGCCACAGTTTACCTAGCCACAGGTGTGTGGCACAAGTGTGTGTCTACTCATGCTTCCATAAATAAGTGTGTGGCAGAGTGTAACATGCATTATTAATGAGTACTTGGCTGCACGCTGTTGGGAGAGATCGCTTTATCAAAGGTTTTACAATGTATACTGGGGTTTGAGCTCGACAGGAAACACTCCCACATGTACACACATTAGCACAGGAAGAGGGGTGCAGCAGCTATATCCTGCTGTAATATTATTTTTCACCAAATTTCAGATTCAACTAGGTTGAAAATGTACGACATCTGTCAGTTGTTTATTCTAAACACATACTTGTGTTTACCTTAGCTGTAGCAGCCCCTTACTGAAAACATGTTTCCGCATGCTTGCTTGCATACAAACACTCACACACCTACTGGGACATCACATACACACATAGTGCCTATTGTCAAGCTACTTCCCCCTTTCCATCTCTGGCTGAAGTGTGCAACCTGATCAAAAAATCATTATCACCTGATTGTTGCCTGTGGTAAGCTATTGTTAATGTAGCTCAATACTAAGAAGACAGAAATGATAAGGGTAAACCAAAAATGGTATCAATAGCTTAATTTACATATTCATTCATTTTACCACACATAGTACATGCATATCTACTTTAGTGTCTTCTCTGATCAGAGTCACATTTATATTGGTCAACTTAGACCACTTAATGTAACTCAGCAGAGGTCCCTGTAGTCTACCAACTCTTCAGAATTGCCACCCCCAGCTGGATTCATTCCATTCAGATAAGCAAGGGCCTGTCAGGGACCTGTAATGGACCAGCTGGCAATTCTAGGTGTCTGTATATCATAGTTTTTATTAGACCAAATTAACTTGCCATTATCATTAAATAAACCTGTCATGTGAGTAGGCAATGACAACAGACAGTGCAGTATTTGAGTCAAAACCTACTTGTTCTTCTGACCATATAGTGGAAGTTTTTAATGTGCCTGAGGCTAGATCCAATTATTTCAACCCTGCTCTCCCTTCACCATCCCTAGCCTGTTCTCTCTTTGTCTACCTGTCTGTGTACACTGTAATTAAAAACTTATTTATTGATGCTGCAGAAATGTTAAGGTAAACTGATAAAACACTGTAGAGAGACAGTACATCCACACACGCTCAAACAATAAGGTATCAGCTGACTCTCTCTTACTAACAACCAGCAGCCATGTCAGCTGCAGTTGTTTGCTTTTGTTTGAACAATCTGCATGAGGTCAATTATTTGTGTGTTGTGTGCTGTGTGTGGTGTTTCGTGGTGTGTGTGTGTGTTCCTCTGTGTGTTGGTGTGTACAGTATGTGTGTGAGCATGTATGTGTGTGTGTGTGTGTGTGTGTGTGTAGGTTTGCAATTCCCTCTTTTCTCCTGAGGTGAAGGGCTCTATCCAGTGACTAATGAGTCAAGTCTACTACATTACTTACAGTAATACTTCAAACAGCACCACTAAAACTCTACAGGACACAGGTGGCCCCGTACTGTGTGTTAGAGGGTGTGTGCATTAGTGTGAACCCTGTCAGTGTCTGTGGGTTTACAGAGTATGCGTGTAGGTCAAAGTGTGTGTTTTTAAAATGGCGTGTCTTCTTTTTCCAATGCGTCATTATTACAGAATAAAGGTTAGGTTTATAATTGAAATTTATTGGAATGATTAGCTTCTGTTATTTATGAACTACTGGATTCAGTCAGTTACAATCTCCACCATTGAATATCCATTTTCACTGAAGGATAAAGAAATCTTAGTCACTATGGCTAAATACAAAGTATCTGTGTTGCATGCATGTTAGAGTATGCATACGTGTTAGATGGTACGGTCAGTCATACATCTGACCTCTTTCCAAAATTCCTTATGTTACTTAGAAATCCTGTTAAGTGTGGAGTAACTGTGGAGGACTAAAAGTGCCAAAACTAAATAATTAAATACATCATTAAATAATTACTTAAATGTGTCATTAATTAATTAAAATTGGAATTAAATACATAAATGTTTTATTAAATGTGTCATTAATTCATTAAAATACTAATTCATTTTATGTAAAAAAAAACATATATAATTATTTCACTATTTAATTAATTATTTCATGGTCCTGTGTTGCAGTGTTTCATGAATTTTTTGATCTGTCAAACTCACCCATCCAAATCAGTGGGTGGACTAACGCTAATCTAGTCTGATCCATTGCTCCTGGTCCTGAAGTAGAGTGCCTGGATAGAGACGATGGAGGATCTCCATGAACTTTCTAGGGAGTTGGTGAGAGACATTTGTATACACTTGTATGGTTTATATTTTTTTACAATGGACATCTCTGTAATGGAATTTCTGTCAGTATGCCTGGAATACTTGTTTTTGCCTGCAGTAGTAGTCACAATGTGACAATGTCAACACACTGCAACATTGTAGCAGATTATTATTGTATGTTTTACAACCACTAATGGTGTGTCAGCCACTGCCAGCTAACAAACTAATAAGCTAACGAACAACATATAAAAATAAAACATAAAAACAACATGTGCCAAATGGTTTGTTACACAGAACCGTCTGGGAAGTTGTCATTGCAACTGTTTGGAAAAGGGCAAGCACTTTCAAAAAATGGTGATTGGATGAACCAGCTATCTATCTAGAGAATAGCACAAACATCTGTTCATTCGAGAAAAGCCTGTACCCATACCTGCACCATTTTCCTTGCCCCATTACTGTTACCCGTGGACTCTTAAGTTCCTTTTTTAAGCTTATGTACCTTCATTATATCAATAAGCTTTATCCTCACCTGCCTGACATCTATTTAGTGCACAGCGTTTTACAGTCTCGAAAAAAGCTCTTCAAATAAGCCACCAGCGCTGTGCCTTACATTCATGTTAATTTCATGTTTTTTGTATTGTTTGTACCACTTTAGATTTAACACATATTAGGCTTTCCATTCAGGATTTCACCTTAAAGTCTACATTAAAGAGGAGCATATGGTGCAAACAGTTACATGAAACATATGTGTATTGTTGTTCCACGTAAAAAACGCAA